CACTCGTGTGCATGTGAGCTTGACTGACAGGAATAAGCTTTAAAGGAAATGAAGGTGAAATGCAGTCTGTTCTGCTTTGATGTGTGGGCCTGTAGTGACAACTTACTTATGATTTCAGAAAGTGGGTGAAATAATGCCAGTACTATGCTGAAAGAAATTTGGTCTTTTAGTCCTGCAATACAAAATGAAGTCTTTCACTAGTAGTGTCAGTATTCCTTAGAAGTTTGCTAGAAGTTTGGAATCTTAGACCAATTCACCCTCCAGACAGACTGGGTCAAATCTGTATATTTAGAAGATTCCCATATTATTCCCAAACACATGAAAGTTTAGAAACACTGCTCTAAAGTTTCCCAAACAAGGGAAACCAGATTAGAGAGTGGAATTATAACCTTGAGTAAGGAAGAATAAATCCCTCGGATAAAGTTCTACGATAGAATTTGGTGTATTTTAAGAAAATTTAAAACTACCTACACCCTTTATTCCTTTTCTGGTGAAGTCTGTTCTCAGTTTTAACTGTAGTTTCAGATTGCGACAGGTTGCCTCATCTTCCATATCTGCCCTGACAACAACCCCTCTGACCTAGAAGAGAAAATCCACACACAAACACCCAGAACGACAAGAACAGCAGCTACGTCAACAACAAAGCCAAATCCATTGCCACAGAGTCCATTTCCGTGTAGGTCCCCAGAAGGTTTTCTATAAAGGGATTATGGGAGTACAGAGCCTCATCATTCTCCTGCAGAACAGCTGAGAGTTTCTAATAGAATTTTCACTCTTTGTCTGCATACACGTGTGTTTTTATTGTCTTCTGTGGCAGCCTCCACTCACATTGAATGGCTGTTTGGGTGGTCCAAGCCATCTTTTTATACATCTGTTAATATTTGCTCTTTTGCTCTTATCATTATTACTTAAACATTGCGTCGGTCTTGAGGGTTATTTTTGTATTCTTATTTACCCCAAAGCTTTATACTTTTAAGGCATAGTGCATGCCAATGGATTATTTAGTGGGCCTCCTCTAGCCATAGTCTCTGTAACTCTGTTTTCCTGCTGAGTCTAGGCTAGAGAAGGAGGCAGGGCATGGAACGGATGGGATGGAGCTGTGAGTGCTTATTAACCGGATTCGTTGTGATTCTCATCCTGCTGCATATAAAGTGAGCCCTCTCAGAAGCTGGATGGGGGATTTCAATACCAGAAAACACCAGTGAGATCCCTGTACAGTGAACCTCCTTGCTCAGATGTGACAGTAGAGGAGTGACAGAGGAGCAGCAGCAGCCGAACCAGGAGCCAGAGCATGAGACAAAGTAGTGGACTCCCGAGTCCGCAGAACAAATGCAGCCGGGTGCCTTTGGGCAGGAGGCTGGCTCGTGGGGTTAGGCTCTTCTGGGCGCTTAATTGGAGGAGTTGAGCATGCTAACTTACGGAGCTGGAGTTGAATGCTTACCGCTTGAGGCTTATGGCATGGGACGCCTCTGTCCATTGAATTTGGGGAGTTGTGTTGTGTTCATTGACCCACAGAGCCAATGGAGCTGCGTATGTTGGACTGTGACTTACTTAAGTGTGTTCTGCCTGCCCTTTGGCCATTTATTAGCAGCCTTGAGAGACCTTTGTAATGTGTATTGATTGAATAGCTATATCCTGAGCATTTCTCATCTGCATTGTAACCTGTTCACTTCCTTAATACCCGTTTAATCATGCTTATTGGTCTTGTGTTGTGTGTGCCCACTGCAGTGCGTAGAGAACCTAGAAGAAGTAGAGTACTGTGGGACACCTAGAGGAGTCGATAGTCTTCTAAGAGACACAATGCACATAATTTTGCAGAAAGCTAGATTCCTCATGAACACATATCACTTTATGCCAGAAATCTTTGCACAGGAAGGGAAGGAGTGAGCTAGAACCCATGGAGAAGCTCAGGAACTCAGGCAGAGAAGTTGGCCTTGAAAATGGACAGAGGTCTTTCTTCTTTCATAGGTGGAGGTGAGAACAGGTGAGGGTAGACATACATTTAGAGACAGAGAGACCTCTGCCGATGTGTAGGAGTGAGAACAGTAGGTAAAGATCTTGAGAAAGTAGGACATTTCTAAGAAACATTGTTATGAGGAATGAGAACTAGGAAGAGGCAAGTTAGAATATTTTCAAGTAACTTCAAGGGCATTAGAGAGCTTGAAAAAATGTGTTTTTATAATGATTCTAATTTACTTTTTAGTTTTCTTTGTCAATCTTGGAAACATAACAGTGAAAAAGAAAGAGGCTGAACGATCCAGTACTAGGGAGCCAGTGAGTTAAACGGAATACAAGGATAAGGGTGATGAAGTGATTGAGATATTTATAGTAGACATGCCAGGTAAGAAGTGTCAGGTTAGAAAGAAAGAATAGTAGAAGGGTACGGTCGACTAAGAAAATGCTTGGCATAAAGGACTAGTTGTGTCAACTAGAACAAACGTGATCAGGGTAAAATAAGAGGAGGTGTAAGATGCAGGTATTGGGGTAGGATATAATGATGTAGCTTTCAAGTTTGGGTGTAGAACAGGTGCAAATAATGATGAAAGTCAGGTGAGCTGATTTTTTTGACCAGAGAAAAGAAACTGAATGAATGAATGCTTATTGAATGGGCAATGGAAGAGGGAGGAGAAATTCTGGATAAAAAGTATTCAAGAAGCGTTTGAGTAGACAAAATTTGAGTTGGACCCTTCTTTAAAATCTCTTACATTTTTATCTGAAAAAATAATAGACTTTGAGTTCACTTAGACTCAAATTATAAGTAACTCTTTGATGGAACCTGATTAAAATGCCATTTTTGTAAGTCAGCAATGGAGAACTACAGACAATTTCAGATGCTCCAACCCATGAGATTCAAAAGTGACACAAACAACCGACAGCCGATGAGTGTTTTCTCTTGGCCAGAAACAGGTCCCATGGCTTTTTTTAGCTTGTCATGGACATGACTTCACGAATCTGTATGCTTTTCAGCTGTGAAGAACTGGAGGACTAGAAGTGAAAAGGTATGCCTTAAGAAAAGAAATAACAAAATCTTTATTATTGTTGCCTGATGCTCAAATCATCTCTCAATTAGAATGTGCCACACACCATGCTAAATGCATTTACCCAGATGGTATAATATAATGTTCATAACACTTCTACATGGTAGGAACTCTTATAGTCACCATTTTACAGAAGATAAACACAGCAAAGTCACTTGTCTAATGCCACACAGAGCATATGCATGTAGGGGAGCCAGGGTTTAAACCTTCATAGCCTAGCTCCAACCCTTGCACACTTAACCTGGGTACCAAGCTGCTTCTTGCAAACATTGTAAACTATGTGTTTTTAACCCATATTCCTACCTGATGGTCCAGACTCGGCTGCTTTTTTCCCCAGTACAAAGTCAGGGGTGAGGTGAATGAACTCTCTCTTCTCTCCACAGTCCATGAAGTGCCTCGTGTATGGGTCATCTCTACCTGGGCGGGTAGGTGGGGCGACTAAAATATCAGCCTGACAAGGTCGAAAAAGATGGTCAACGCATCAGAAATAGAATCGACAACATTGAGTCTGAAAGCATTTGAAATACTAAAGTGGGGGCAACATTGGAAAATACCAAAAAATATAAGTGTTTGGGAGAAAATTTTAACTCTGACATGCTGGTAGCTCTCATGTCTTGGCCTCTTGTATTGAGGGGTGTCGGTCCAATTTTCATTCTATAATTTCATCTCAGAAGGCAAATGATTCTTCTTGATATTACAGGAATTGCTTAATATTTTAAAAGTGCACGGACTTTGGCGTCTCTGGACTTGGCAGCCATCTGGACGTAAGATTTCCCGTTTTTAGATACTGATTGACTTAGGGAGCCACTCTAGTCCTGTTTCCTCAATCTCAAATGAACTCGTTCACCCTATCTTTAAGGGTGTCATAAAGAAGGAAAGCTCTATACAAGGACACTAAACTGGTTGATGGCGTTATAGTTTATAAAAAGTCTCAGTGGAGAGCAGTCTTAGGTCCTTTAAGCTGAGGAAAGCAGCAGTCTGTAGGAATCCTTCAAGGTGAGGTTTTCAATCACCAAAGCCAATAGCACGTTATTTTATATAGTACTCTGAAGTCCACTTATTCAATGATTAAGGAGATAAGTAGGTTCTCCATGTTTTCCTATCTAAGGAATGGGTAGAGACGTTTGTAGGGATCTATATAGCCAAAGTCATTGAATAACTGACAGATGCTATGTATTGGAATATGATGGAACCCCTTTTATCTTGCTGATCACTTGGTGACATCGACTTGATGCTAACTCATGTGACCCTTTGGCAGTGGTTCTCAACCTGTGGGTCGCCACCCCTTTGGGGGGGTCGAACGACCCTTTCACAGGGGTTGCCTGATTCATACAGTAGCAAAATTACAGTTACGAGGTCACAAGGAAAACAATTTTATGGTTGGGGGGGTCACCACAACATGAGGAACTGTATGAAAGGGTCGTGGTGTTAGGAAGGTTGAGAACCACTGCCCTATAGGACAGAGTAGAACTGCCCCGATGAGTTTCTGACACTGTAGCTGTTTATTGGAGTGGCAAGCCCAGCCTTGCTCTCTTGGAGTGAGCGGTGGGAATTTTGAAATTCTGCCCTTGAAGATCGCAGCCCAATGTGTAACCACTGTACTACCGGGCTCCTTATCTCGCTGATAGCATTCCAGTATACAATGCTCCTTTTCATGAAGCTCGCTGACAACACAAGGGAACCACAAAGCGATTCTCCAGGAATTCTGGAACCTTTTCCTTATTCTTTTGAAGAGAAGCCAAGGTACTAACTCCTATGTCCTGAATGAGGTCAACACACAAGCTTCAAAGCCACAGAATAAGTGAGAGGCGGGGTTCAATAAATACAAATGTACAGCACTGATTTGAAGTTGGGAAAAGGGATTCACAGAGCTGCCAGAGGAGGTTGGAGATTACTTCCGTATTAGCCTGTAGCAGATGAAGAATTCTCTATTTGCTCCCTAAAGATGTCTCTGTTCTTTTTGTTTGTTGATGGGCCTTTTGTTCTCAACATATCATCTTATTCTGCTTGACATAAAGGCTATCCCTGTATCAATGAGGCATGGGGTGGGAAAGTAAGTTTGCCCCCTGCATATGGTTTGCCTCTGTGTTGTGCATTGTACAGCCCCAAAGTAGACTTTTGACTTTGTGGGCTTGCGGTCTTGATGTGACTGTCTTGGGTAATGGGATGGTCTTATGTGTAGAAAGATTTCAGAGACCTCCTCCGATGATCAGAACCTCCTGAGGCACCCAAGGTGACTAAGGTTTTCCAGAGACTCGGTAAGGAGAATTCCTATGTGATATTCCTTCTAAATTCTCAGATTCAACATTCCACTTAGATCAAAGATTCATATGAGTGTTTTCAAAAGCAAATACTCTCAAACAGGAAATAGGAACACAAAAAGTAAAGATAATGATCAGGTAGGAAATTAAGCCGAATCTTCATTAATTTTCATCTGATCAGATAGTATTCCCAGGAGTTGAGCTATGATCACAAGTTAATTCACCATTTTTACACAAATGAGTAATTTTTGACATCCTATTAGAGCCTGCTATTTAAACCCAGGTCTGTTGGTCATGAAAGCTCATTTGTGTTCTGAATATATTCAGACAATTTTCAAACCTTAGCTTTGACTGCATCACTTAAAAACCAAATGAGTCTAAACACTGATTTGTCGATGAAAGGACTGAGGCACAGGGAGGTCCTCTGTCTGGTCTTCAGTCTTGTTTGTGAGACTGGGTAGGCTCCATTCTAGAACTTCCATATCCAGCTCCTCATCCAGCACTGTGCTCATTGCTTTTCACATTCCCAAACCTTTCAGAATATTCCATAATAATAATTAGCTATTTGTTTTCTTCTCTACAATTTAAACAAAGCCTTATTATGACCCCAAATCTATCTTACCTTTATTTGTTGAATTAGTTTCTCATCTTCTAACACAAGAGGGTTTATAGCAACGATAATGTCTCCATAGCCATCGTTAGTCAGTTGAACCAGGGAGGCATTTGATCCTTGAAACATATAGAAGACTAAGAGGCAAAGATAACTTCTGAATAAGCCCCTTGTTCCTCTCTAGTTGCTCTTGAAATGAACATTAGTTTGTTCCAGAGGTTTGCTTTTGCCTTCCCTCTTACAGTCCTCACTCCTAAACATGATCAGTGTTGGCTGATTATGAGAAACTAAGTGTATAAAGGTCAATTTTATAAACTGTGGGGAAAGTTTGTTCCCCCCTTGAGTTCAACAAAATCACTGTATGTTTTAAAAGTGATTAAGACGCATAGTAGAAATCAGACAGTTTTATCACATTAATTGTACATTTTCCACTGGGAAACTTTTCCTATGCTTTCTGATTCTGGTTAATTTACTAAATATAGACATATAATTAGTTTTTTATATAGATAGTAATGTAGATTGATAAATACAAAATAAATAGAAACAAGAATGCCAGTAGTATTCTTCCATTTTAGGAAGCACTTATTAGTTGCTTAAATTATTTACTTAAAATAAAAATGCCAGAGAATGTAAGGTCATTAATTGTAAATAACAACAGGTGAGCAATTTGGCATTGAGACAAAAAAGAAATAATTTTGATTAAAATTTAGCAAATTAATGATGCTGTGATTGGGTCAAATTATTAGAATAAACGTATAAAATGACTCAATTTTTGCGTGGAGAAAGTGAGGGGCATGGTGATTTAGGAACTTGCCAAGATAATTCAGCTAAGAAATGGCAGAGTTGGGGCTTGAATTTAGCATTCTAGCCCTTAGAGCCTATGGATTTTAAAGTTCTCCACATGAAGGCAATGATGTTTTATAAGGCAAATAATGTAAATTTTAAAAAGAAGAAAGGAGTCAGGTTGAGAGTTGTGGCGGTGAATCAGGAATGTGTAGTTCTAGAGTGGAAGGTGCCCACCAGACAGGACGTCCAAAGAGCAACTGGTGGTTGCCCACTGGTGACATTGCGGTGACAGCCCACCTCAGACCACTGCCCGGGCAGGGCTCCTCACATAGGGAGCGACAGTGTTGACTTCTGAACGTGGGATTCAGCCAGTTTGCACCGGTTCAGCAGAAATGATGCCTCATTTTCTGATGAGTTCAGCAAACTCATTATCCAAATGGCACTTGTAATCAGGGTTCTCTCAAAGGAGGGCAGCTGGACAGCCGCCCAATGTGGAAATCACAAATTTATTTTCCTCATTCTTTTTTTTAACATCCGTCTGCAAAATAGCTATTCTAAGCACCTGCAGTCATTGTTAGGTGCCATCCAGTTGCTTCTGACCGATAGTGACCTTGTGCACAACAGAAAGAAACACTGCCCGGTCCTGCATCGTCCTCACAACTGTTCGCATGCCTGAGCTCATTGCTGCAGCCACCGTGTCAATCCATCTCCTGAGGGCCTTCCTCTGTTTAGATGCCCCTCTACTTTACCAAACATGAGGCCCTTCCCAGGGACTGGTCTCTCCTGACTTCTAGCAGTTCATGGTACTTTCCATTCTCTTCGCTAGCACCACGATTCAAATGTGTAAATTCTTCTTCGTTCTTCCTTAGTCGATGTATACCTTTCACATTTATATGAGGCAAGGGAGACTACTATGGCTTGGGTCAGGCCACAGTAGTCCTCAAAGTCACATCCTTGCTTTACAATACACTAAAGAGGTCTTTACAGCAGATTTACCTAATGCATCTTGTCTTTTGATCTCTTGACGCAGCTTCCATAAGCATTAATTGTGGATCCAAGAAAAACTCCGTGATACCTTCAACCTCTTCTCCACTGATCATGATGTTTCCTATTGGTCCAGTTCTGAGGATTTTGACCATGTTCACATGGAGTCAGTAATCCCTACCGAAGGCTGTGAACTTTGATCTTCATCAGTAAGTGCTTCAAGTCCTCCTCACTTTCAGCAGGTCATCTACATATCTCAGGTTGTTAATAAGTCTTCCTCCAATCTTGATGCTGCATCCTTATTCATATAAGCCACTTCTTTGAAGATCCACTCAGCATACCAATGGAATAAGTATGGTGAAAGGATACAATCCTGATGAACACCTTTCCTGATTTTAAGCCAGGCAGCATTCTTTTTCTGTTCACACAGCTGCTTCTTGCTCCATGTACAAGTTCCACATGAGCACAATGAAGTGTTCTGGAGTTCCTTTTTTTTTTCAAGGTTATCCATAGTTTGTTATGATCTACATAGTCGAATGTCTTGGCATAGTCAATCAATCACAAGTAAATATCTTTCTCATAATTTCTGCTGTGAGCCAAGATCCGTCTGACGTCAGCAATGATACCCCTTGTTCCACAGCCTCTTCAACTCTGGCCTGAACTTCTGGCAGCTCCCTGTCAATATACTGCTGCAACCATCGTTCCATCTATGGGCATAAAAAGTTACATGGAATTATGCTTGTAATACTTATTTATTCATTTTATAAAACTCATTATACTTTTGATGAAACACTACCTTTTTATCCCCTTGCATTTGCTACTTCAGTAAACAAAGGCATGACTTAAAGAGAAAACATGCTAAATAAGAGGAAGACATGTAGTCATTCATCTCAGCTTTGGGTCATGCCTCAAATTCCCATGAGCTATCATGAGCGAATTGTGCAATTCCTGAAAGTGTTCAAAGACCTAAACATATCGTCAGAACAATTGCTGTAAGTTTAGCAGAAGTGGAAGAAAGGTTTCTCAAAGATGAACATAATCTGCTCATAGAAGAGAAGTCACCTTTTTCTAACACATCAAACACAGTAACTATTGTCTAATTGGCCTACCTCTAAATGAATGGGATGAAGTAGTAAACTACCTTCTGCTATATATATTTTTTATGCTTGAAAAATGGTCATCAGGGCATTTTTACCAGGTACACTATTAGAATCCCATCACTGGGCCTTCTCTTATGTACCAAGGTGATGCCATTTTAGGCAGCACTTCACACTCTCCTGCCACCCTTCCGGAATGCTGTGGGATACTTGGCCATTCATGAAATTAATACCTTGTAGATGATCGCAGACAGAGCTATCTTCCTAGCAATCCTATGGAAATCAGTATTGCCTGAAGAGGGTAGGCGATTTCGGCATGAATGTGTACATAACATGCAGTTTCCTCCTTTTGTCCTACTGACTTCTCATTCTCTTTTCACTATCTCTCCCTGAACTTCAGCTCAGTGGCTTCAAGCAAACCAAGCAAGCTCCTATGATCATAGAGTATGTGCTTAGAAAAGCGTCTGGACTGGTGGAATGATTAAACTAATGAAAGACGATCATCATTTTAACTGATAATAATATTTAATTTTTTTGAAGCCTACACTTCGGCCTTTGAATTGAGAAAATGGAGGGAATTCCAGTTTCCAGCACTTGGAGGAATACCTAAGCTATTTTGAGGAGGCGCTATTACTCCCTCGAAAGGAGAGTCCTACTGCTCACTAGGAAAGTCTTGGTTATAGTGTTGGAGGGGAGAGACTTCCTCTTTAACAAGGGAGTTGGGAAAAGACTCCCTTTCAAGCACTGGGCTGGTGTGGTCTGGTGAATATAGATGAGTCTTTACAGCAGTTTTTATATAAACTTGTTCCTTGGGCACAAAAGGAGACAATGCTGAATGGAGTTGAAATAGGACCTTTCTTTGAGTCAAATGTATGTCTTTGATTAATTTTCCATCTATATTTCTTGCTGGATTTTCAGCACTCATCATAAAGAAGAAAATAGAGAGCGGCTCTGACATCCTCAAGCCGTCTTTCCTCATAATTAGTCAACGTCTTAGTGAGTCCAGGTTGGCTTGTCCAGCTCAAGGACCACTGCCTCCAGCCCAGCCTCATGCGGACATTCTGGGCAGGGCCTGGGGGTGCCAATCAGAAAGGACTGTGTTGAGTGGGTCTGGACTGAATCCAACTCAGACAAATAGGGTTACCAATGCCCATTATGAGGGTTGAGTTACTCTTGTCTGTTACTGGGGGACAGAGGAGATTTGAAAACTTTTTTAGTTTTTCTTCATTCATTTTAGTTTGTAAAAGAAAAAGTATTTTCACACATTAAACTTATGATGTCATAGATAAGTAATGAGGTTAGTTAAAAATTGAGTTCCTTACTGAATAAGAAAGCAGTCAAGCAGGGTGTATAGCCAGTAAAACTTCTGAAGTTGGTACATGCATGACTGGGATTAGGAAACCTCGCCTAGGTGGTCTGGAATACCTCCCCTCCGTTCTCATCGCCGTCCTCTGGTACTTCGGTCAGGTCAGGGTTCGTAACTGTGGGGATCAGTATCTGCCCTTGAAGGTAGCAATGAGAACTGCATTGGAAGCTCATTTTAGCAATCATCACAAATAATTACTGCCTGGGGTTTGTATAGTTGGGAGCTCTGGTGACGTAGTGGTTACATGATGGGCTACTAACAGCAAGGGCAGCGGTGGGAAGCCACCAGCTGGTCTGAGGGAGAAAGGCAGGGCTCTCTACAGCTGTCAAGAGTCACAGGCTCAGAGATCCACAGGGGCAAGGCCACCCTGTTCTATGGGGTGGCTGGGAGGTGGCATCAACTCACAGACAGTGAGTTTGGCTTGGTTTGGGGTTTAGTTAAGGAAATCTCTTTCTTTGTTTTAGGTCATACTATATACTATGAACTTTCTTTTTCTTTTTTAGCATCTGTGGTTTAATTGAGACCTAGTGGTGCCTTCAGCTAAGCATTAGACTGTTAACTGCAAGAACAGCAGTTCAAAACCATCAGTGGTTCTGAGAGTGAAAGATGAGGCTGTCTGCTTTCTTAAAGATTTGCAACTTCTAAGTCATTCATATGTATCAGAATTGAGTCAGAATTGACTCAATAGCAGTGGGTTTTGTTTGGTTGATTAGCCCAAGAACACATTTGCTTCTTTTTCCTGTCATGCTTTTATCAGTCTAATGTTTTATTTCTTAGTATAAATATATATTTAAAACAAGGACTATTAAGAGATATACATTATTCTAAATAATTCACATTGAATACCTGCTATCCTATAATAATGCCTTTTCTTCCATGTTTTTTCTTCTGCTCACATTGTCTCCTCCTTTGAAATGGAGTAATTTGTGTCCATGTTTTGATCTTCCTTTTTTATTATTACTTTCATGAGGATGAGTATCGTGAAAATATCACAGGCAGTTCCTAATAAAGAATTTTGAAAAAGGACTTAATTAAAGATGAGGAACTGTTATCTAATACCTGATTTTCAAGTAAAAAACATCTTTATTATATCCCAAAATTAAGTCAATCAAATAATTAACTGCCATTGAGTCAACTCATAGCAACTTTTTGGACAGGGTAGAACTGCTCCTGTGAGTTCTGAGACTGTAACTCTTTATGGAGTAGAAAGCCTGCTGTCTCCTGAGGAGCGGCTTGTGGTTTTGAATTGATGACCTTCAAATGAGTAGCCCAGTTCCTAACCACTATGCCACCAGTCCTTCTTAAGTCAATTAAATAATGAGTTGGAAATATGATTGTTGGTGGTGGTGCTGTCTGGTTGGCTCTGATTCACAGCGACACTGTGTGCAACAAAACAAACACTTCCAGGTCTTTCACTGTTCTCATAACTGTTATGTTTGAGCCCATAGCTGAAAGCTTCTGTGTCATTTCATCCAGAGTCTTCCCCCTTTTCACCGACCCTCTGCTTTGCTAAGCATGATGCCATTTTTTTAAAAACATTTTATTAGGGGCTCATACAACTGTTATCGCAATCCATACACACATCAATCGTGTAAAGCGCATTTGTACATCATTCGCATGATGCCATTTTCTAGGGACTGGTCCTTCCGAATAATGAAGTCCTGCTGTCCTTGCTTCTAAGGAGCATTCTGGCTGTACTTCTCCTGAAACAGATTGCTTTCTTCTGCTAGAAGTCCACAGTATTTCCAATATTCATCACCAACATCATAATTCCAATGCATCAATTCTTTCTCCTTCCTCATTATCCAATTTTCACACGCCTGTGGGCCATTGAAAATATCGTGGTTTGGGTTGTTTTCTAATGCATTTATTCCTGCTCACATCTTTATAATTTATTTTCTTCTAGTGACTGTAGGTATATTGGAAGTATTTTTCTAATTGCTGGAGATGTTGGGTTAAGGTGTTGATTTTGGTTTGTTTTCTCTCTGTTTCTCTCTCTTTTGATGTATGCATTTGTTGCTCTAAATTGCCTGCTGAGTTCACTTTTTCTGTGTCCCAAAGGTTTCAGTAGGTTGTCTTTTCATTCTGATTTGTTTCGTGGAATATTATGCTTTTCATTCTTTATTTCTTCATTATTGGATTTGGTGGTTGGGGTGTAAAGTTGAATAATAATTGTATTAACTGATTTTCCTTGTAGGTATAGTATATAGAGTATCCTATTATATATGGCATTGTACCTCAAGATAGAACATGGAATGTTCTTTTTGATGATGAATGCAATGTCATTCCTTTGAATCTGTCATTTCTGGAATAGCAAAATAAGTTAATTAAAAATAACATCCTGGTCTATTTTCAAAATGCTTCAAAGCTATGTATAAGGTATGGATCATAGCAAACTATTATAACCTTGAGAAGAATGGGAATTCCAGAACACTTCATGTGCTCATGTGGAATCTGTACATGGATCAAGAGGCATTTGTGGGAAGAGAACAAGGGGATATGAGATGGTTTTAAATCAGGAAAGGGGTCCATTAGAGTTGTATCCTTTCATCATATTTATTTAACCTTTATGCTGAACAAATAATCATAAAAACTGGATTATATGAAGAAGAATGCAGCATCAGAATGACTGGGAAGCTTTACTTACAACCTGAGATATACAGATGACACCTTTTTTTCTTGCTGAAAGTGAGGAGGACTTGAAGCACTTACTGATGAAGATCAAGGATTACAGTGTCAGTATGGACTATGACTCCGTGTTAAGAAGACCAAAATCCTCAGAATTGGACCAATAGGTTATATCATGATAAGTGGAGAAAGGTTGAAGTTGTCAAGGATTTTATTTCTTGGATCCAAAATCAATGCTCATGGAAGCAGCAGTCAAAAGATGAGTTGCATTAGGTAAGTCTGCTGCATAAAACTTTTTTGTTGTTCTTAAGTTCTCAAGTTTAATGGGTAACGAATCATCACTTTACCAAATGATGCATTATTATTAGTCATTGGGGAGATGTAAATTAAAATTACAATGTGATGGCATTTCACCCAAACTAAGAAATGGCTACCATCAAAAACTGAAGAAAAAAATGACAAGGATGTGAACAAATTGGAACCCTCACCAATTGCTGATGATTTGATAAAATGATACGGTCGCTGTGGAAAAGTTTGGCAGTTCTTCAAAAAGTTAAACATAGAACTACCGTATGATCCAACAACTCAGTGCTAGGTATATACTGAAAGGTGTTGAAAGAAGAAATGGTTTAAATTTGTAAAAGTATATTTACCAATGCTCATTGCAGTACAATTCATAATAACAAAATAAGGGGAAACCCTAAATATAAATCAACAGAAGAATGAATAAATAAAACATGGTACATAGAACAAACACACACACACATATATGTATAGATAGATAGATCCGCACTTCTCTGCCAGTGTTGTACTGTGGTGACTTCCATGTTGCTGTGATGCTGGAAACAGCACCGTTACTATTTAAAATGCCACCAGGGTTACCAATGGTGAATAGGTTTCAGCAGAGCTTCCACATTAAGAACAGAATAAGAAGACGCCATCGACTGTCCGTTTCTGTGGGATTACCCATCGAAAATCTTATAAAAAGCAGTGGATCACTTTCTAATATACTGCCAGAAGATGAGCCCCTCGGTGGGAAGGCACTGAAAAGACGACTGAGGAAGAGCTGCCTCCTCAAAGTCAAGTCTAACCTGAATGGCATCATTA